GCCCCTGCTTGCACAAAGCCTGCAGTGACTTCTCTCCTGTGTGCCCTAACCTGTAATGCCAAAGTCTGCTCATGTCCGCATCTGAAGTAGCCGAAGCAACATGGCCAATCTCGGTGCTCCCCTTCAGATAGTATAAATTATGACTGCGGACTCCCTTCATCATCACCAAAGATCCCTTAGTAACCTTCGCTACAGCATCCTCAAAGGTCACCCTGAATCCCTTCGCCTCCAGAGCTCCAACTGAGATAAGATTCTTCTTCAGTTGAGGAACGAATCTCACCTCCTTCAACTCACGGACTACTCCATCGTGCATCTGAATCCTCACAGTACCTATCCCACAAACTCCATAGGATTGATCATTTCCCATGACAACAACACCCCCGTCGAGTCTCTCAAATGATGAGAACCAATCTCGCCTAGGAGTCACATGATAAGTAGCGCCAGAATCAAGCATCCACTCTGATGCATCCAAATGGTTCACCTCCGGAGTAATCAAAAGAGAAAAGCTCGAATCATCGGAATCATCGCCTTTCGCAACATTCACCTCATTGGCCTTCGGGCCCTTATTCTTGCTATTCTCCTTTTCTTTGACTTTCGGGCAGTCTCTCTTCTAATGTCCCTGCTCTTTGCAGAATGCACATTGGTTCTTTCCAAGCTGGTGACGACCTCTTGACTTTGACCTCCCTCTATTTTCACCTTTTTGATATAATCTTCTACCTCTCGTCGATAAGGCCTCTCCTGAAGTACTAGCGCGGGAAGTCTCCTTATCCTTCCTCCTCAAATTATAGTTCGTCAATGCGTTAGTCACTTCACTATAAGTGATAGAAGATCTCTCGTTCAACAACATAAGCACAAAGGTATCATACTCCTCATCCGGTAAGGAGCCCAAAAGAATAATAGCCTTGTACTCATCTGTGATCTTCTCATCCACGTTCGCCAAGTCCGACAACAACTTAGTGTAGTTGTTCACATGAGCCGCAAGCGAGGTACCTCTGGACATCTGGAATCTGAATAACCTTCGCAGCAAGTGCAACCGGTTCTCAACACTCTTCGTAAGGTACTTATTGTTGAGAATTTCCCACATCTTCATCGCAGACGTCACCCCAATCACATCGTATTTCAGCTCCTGTTCCAAACAGGACCTGATCACCCCACAAGCGTTCCTATTCATCTTTTCCCATACCGACTCTTCATATTTAGGTGGCCTCACATTGACCATGATGGTCTCCTCCAAATTTTGAGCATTGAGCATATCATGTACGTCGCTCATCCACAAACCAAATTTGATTTTGCCGTCATATTTCACTACACTAATCTTAGTGTTCTGAAAACCCACTTAAACTGTGCCTGTCATCTTGCTGCTTTCACCAACTTCTTTACCCATAATCACAAATTCCAAATTATAGAGAAAGATCCAAACTTTAAAAAGAATAAGAAATTACCCAACTGAATCCTAGATTGGATTCCAAATAGAACTCCTAACCACACGAGGAAAGCGAGATCTTCAACGGCAACTTCAAACCCTAACTCCACCAAAGCCTAGAACTCCAAGAACCAAGCTTCCAACTGAATCTTCCTCCACCTAATCCAAAACCCTAGATCTGAAATCTGAGCTCTGATACCACTTGTCACGCGCCTATGCGGAAGCGTTGCACGCACACACAACGAACTTGAGATCACGGAAGAAGAAAGCCACACACTTGCACAAACCAAGCCAATTACGACAAATCAAACCAAACACAGAGATATACGTGGTTCGGCAAATTGCCTACGTCCACGGGGAGAGGATGGGGAGATTTCACTATATGGAGGAGAAATACAACGGGTTACAACTCACAAAATATAACCCTAACCAAAGCTCTCAACTCCCTCATAATATCTCCCTCTCAAAGTGCTCAAAATAATGCTAATTCTCTCCTTTTCTCTTCTTAAGAAACCCTAAAAAACGTGGTCCTATTTATAATAAAACACAATCCCAAAACAAAGGAGGATTCCTATACAAATGAGGATTCTAAAAATGAGTCTGCCACACCATGCACCATGGGTGTGGCAGAGGGTGTGGTGCAGGACAGATTCTGCCACACCCTGCACCGTGGGTGTGGCAGAGGGTGTGGTGCAGGACAGATTCTACCACACCCATGGCAGACACCACACCAGGGTGTGGTGGAGTCTGTTTTGAGTTATTCTTCACGTTTTTCACAATTCCTTCGCCGTTTTCACAGGCTTGCTACATTGAATTGGAAGACTCGTTATATGTTTCTTGTGTTTTTAAGTAATCAAGTTGACATTGCCATTGACGTATACTATTATATACAATAGTTTTGATATGTTAATATTAGAAAGATTTTCTTGCATTTTCAAAAGAGAGCATATTATTTATAAAACTATTTAGTTGTCACATTAAGGGCGTGTTTGGATTTCAATGGGGTTAAGGGAAGTTAAGAGAAGCTAGGTGAGAGAAGAGAAAGGAATAGAAGGGAGTTCCCTTCTCCTTAGTTACACCCCAATTTGGGGGGTAATAAATTTTATACTATTAAGAAGTGAACTAAGGGGAACTAGGGTGAATAATTTCACCTCCTAAGTGTTCCCAAACAAGATGAATGGTTCCGCTAACTTCTCTTCTCCCTTATTCCCCTCAATCCAAACAAGCCCTAAATAAAGATTGATGTGTTAATATTCTTCAATTATCTATTATTGACTATCAATATTCAACAATAAATTTGACTTGCATGTATCACGTTGGAGGAGATCCAAATCCCAAACAATATTAAAGGTCTGCGTCGGAAAAATGAGTCTGATAGAACCAGTAACTTTGGATAACGAGCGAAAGTAAAATAATTGTTTATGTAAAATCCTTATTTCAATAATTGCATGACTGAAAATACAGTCTCTGAAAGGTTTAAGGACCCGAGAATCATGCATGGAGAACAAAACTCATGCATTCCTTTCCTGCTATTCTTATTATTCATAGTTAATCTCTAGATTGGAGCAATATCCTACTCATCAGTGTATTATTAGAATATCTTGTTGGGGAGAAACCCCTATGCCGAGATCCAACCAAATAGCCGAGAGAGATAAACAACCACTCCAAACAATAGCACAAACAATCAAACACCAGATTTTACGTAGTTCGGCGAGATGCCTATGTTCACGGGGCAAGGAGGGGGGAGTTTTCACTATTAGAAATCAAGAGGAACAAACTAGGGTTACAAATCTCTCATAAACCCTCAACAAATCAACTCTCAATCTCTCCAATTGCTCTTAGAATAGAAGCCTAAAGAAAACCCTCTCAATCTGCTCTAAAACCCCTTGCTTACAAACCCTAGAATCGAGTTTGGGTATTTATAGAAAACCCAAACAAAACGGGTCTGGAAAACAGACCCAGCCAAAAACCGCTACGGCGGTCGATCGTGACGGTTGACCGCGATCCATCGCGATCGACTGCCACGGTCGACCGCCCACACTCCAGAACAGGCCCACGGCGGTCGACCACCACCAAACCAGACGCCCAGTAAGCTCTGTGCACGAACGCGGTCGACCGCCAACCTGTCTGCATGCCAATGTCTGTTCCTGCCATTTCTACATATCTCAAGTCCTAATTGCAGCAGCCAGTAATTAATAGAGTCATTTAAGAATTTTTTTGAGGAATATTAGATGTTATTCGCTACCTAACTGTTTAGTGTTTGTTTAGAAAATGGAACTAATGGCTAGTACGTTCATTCTTTTGGTAATTCCTAGTCTTAGTCATGACATTTATTTATGCAGAGTTAGTTTGATTGCGCCCATCATAATTCTTGGGTAATGCTATTCTCATCCCATTTTTAACATGCTGATTCTTGCATATGACATGTTTCAATATCCATCAATCATATTCGTTTGAAAGTTTTTGAGAAAATGAGTCTGATGATCGTTTAGTTGGGACTTGGGACCATATCATATTAAAGTCATCAATATCTATAGAAACCATATCATACTAAATAAATAAATAAAACTTGGGATTGCTAACTGTCACTTTTATATACAGCAGCATCATTTGTTATCACCTTTTTCCACATGATATCTTAAATTTTATGTTTATAAGGGCCATTCATTTTGACTGATATGTTCTTTTTGTAGGAAAGATGTAGCACAATTAAGTATGCCTTCAAATATTGTGGTATTTTTTGATTTGTTAAATAATTGTTTACGATCTTTGCTAAATGATAATAATAACAATCTACATGTTATACCTAAGGAACAAGTTGAAATCGATTGCTTACTTCATGCATTTGATCCAAAGCATAGCTCATTTAGGATTGGGGGAAAAGATATTGTGTTTAGTGTTCATGATGTGCATAAAATAATCAGATTGCCAAATACTGGAAATAGGGTTATAATGGATGGTCGAGCATCTAATACTATGTATACTGAGCATGCGTATTGTAAAAAGAAACAATGAGAGGAGGAGGAGGAGAAGGCCAGTAGGAGGAAGAAAAGGAATGTTGAGGAGAAGGATAACAAGAAAGTGTGGAGCACTCGCAAGAGGATGACTGATTTGATTGTGGAGTTGATGAACTCCAACCATATAGAGTGTGTGAAAATACTTGTGACTTTTATTATTGGATTTGTATTGTGCCCTCATCCCGCTAACTCATGTTCATTATGGGCATTTAGATATGCGGACAATTTATTTGCTCTTCATAACTGCAATTGGGATGGTGCTGTGTATGATATATTGTATAAGGAGATGACGAAGGCAAAGTTGTCCATTTCAAAGCGAGCGATAGGAGAGCGCAAACGAGCCGGGTACATGGGTGGGTTTGCATCGGTATTGGTGGTATGTTTTAATAAAATTATGTGTTTTCCTTTTTTACTTATTAATAATTGTAACTAAATTTATTATTTTTTTCTAGGTTTGGTTTTATGAAATAGTTGGGGAGCAAAAGTGTGAAATAAGATAGAAAATCTTACGACCCATTTTTATTGAGAGGAAGTCTCGATTCTTTTAGCTAAAAGCCATGATGAGGTTAATTGAAAAGCTAAAGTGTATTAGGAATTTCACAGGTGAAACCACTATATCATCTGTTCCTAGTGCATCAAATCCTCAACCGGTATATACACTTTTTTTTGCTGTTGTTGTCTTGTTGCTATCAACTTATTAATATCTTTCGTGAATCCTAACCCTTTCATGGTGTTGTATTTGTAGGCGATGACATTATTTCAAGTGCGGGATTTGCTTGCAGAAAATAGGAAGGAGTATCATGAGCTCATTAAGTTAGAGAATAAGTTGAGTGTTGGGGGTAATGACAGCAATGAAGCCAAAGATGAAAGTGAAGAGGAAGATGGAGAGGATTGGAAAGACGAGGAGGATGGTGAAGATACAAATGATGGGGAGGATGAGGATGATGATGATACTAATGACAGGGAGAATGATGATGAGGATGATGACGGCATAGCTCTTGAATAAGGAGTATAAAGCCATGAAGAGAATAGTAAAGATAAAGAAAGAAGTGAGAAAGAGGAGAATGCTAGTGAAAATAAATATAACCGCAAGAGGAAAGAAAAACAAGGGGAGATGATTGTGGAAGAGGTAGTTGAAGATGATGATTTTGTGGATATATCTTTTTCAAGGACAACATCAACTAAAAAGAACATCAGAGATAGGACCCCATCAATTAAACGAATCGTTAGAGATAAGAAACATGTATCCACACATGTATATCATTCACATTATATGCAGCTGAAGGGCCATAATGAGAAAAGGAGAGATATGATTATTATTTCTCAATTGCAAACGCCAAACAAGAGTATGTATTGTAATGAAAAGAATGAAGTGATTAATGTTTTCCTGTTATAAACATTGGAGAAGAGAAAGAAAGTCAATAGAGGGACTGATTTTATCCTAGGAATTGCAATTATCCAGTGAAGGAAAAGTAAATGAAAGTGAGAGGAACCTCCTTGATGAATTTTGCAAGAAGAGAATGAATAAGTATAAATTATGAGACACGTGTGATTTTCCTTTATACATTTTTTTAATGTTATTCTTCCTTTCATATTACTTTTATTTAACTTGTGTATGTTTCATAAGTCATAGAGATGAATTTGTTTGGCAGTCTATTACTCGATCAGATACATATCATCTTCTTATTGGAATGACAATTTCTGATGATGTAAGCTTCCTAAACCTTAATAGTTTTTGCATATTTCCATATTTTAGTTATAATCATTTTTTCATGCATAATTTTCAGTTAGTTGATGGTGTGATAGAGTGATTTAAGATGAAGATTAAAATAAAAGCATGCCTAAAACACGTACACATCACGGATCATTTTTTGTTGTGAGTATTAGGAAACTTTTCTTTCATTTAGACTGTTTTTTTGGTTAAATATGACGGTCATGTTTTAACAGAGAGTATTACTACAAAATAATCCTAGTTATTGGGTGAGACAACTCAAGGGCCGGTAGCTTCCACATGCATGCTTTGAAGAATGCAAAAAGATTATTTTTCCTATTAGTAGTCACTGGTATATCTTGGAACTGATTAAGTCTGAGAAAAAGTTTTATCACTAGTCATCACTCACATACATTAAATATCTTGATAATGCCAAGAAATTCATGAATAATTTCTCAGCTTACATTAAGAATGAATGGAAAATAGAAAATGTGGATGGGTAATATAGAAACCTGACATGTTCTTCAACATGATGAGTTTGACTATAACTTAAAATATATTAGTATAGTTTAGTTTTTATTTATCATTTAATCGTTGATTGTAGCATTTGCTTGTGCAACAACTTAGATTGTGGCATTATCATGATGGGATACATATATTCTATCATCAATGGCACAACTCTATTCATTCATCAGAATGATTGTGAACTTCTAAGGGCAAAGATCTCTATTGCATTTATCTCGGAGGAATCAAAAAATCTAGTAGAAAATGCTTTATCAATGTTTGTGCTCTAGATGGACGATTGTTCCATATGGGATATTGTATGTGTAAATTTTGATCTCCCGAAAACAGGGAACTTCGTTTGTATTGATAAGAAGGCTTATTACAAACTAATAAATCAAATGTTTACAACAGAAGCGGAGGGAAGGCCCTCCTTGTTTAACGTGGGTTCCTCGGTGGCGATAGGACGCCTCGCTCGGTGCTCGCGCCGAGCCTGCTTCCCTTGGACGATCCGATCGAAGTTGCTGCCGGAGCTTCGGTTCTCAAATGAGGGAGCCTTTGGCAAAGGTCCAGGTTCAACCTTTGGGAGATTAGCCAGCAGAATATGCAACAGCCAATCCCCCTTTTTCATGCTGGCTGAAGATGGGTTTTAATAGGCAAGGGATAACATGGGCCATCCCTTGATTCATGGGATTTGACCACGTGAGGGAGACAGCTTGACTGCTCCTTGAATTATGGGATGTGACCACACGTCGTTCAGAGATATCCTGCTGTTCACCTGCAACAGGAGCGGTCATTCGAGGAGCCATGTTTTACATCACGTCACTTAGGAATGGGAAAGCCCCTCCTCGTATGCGTGACAACGGCTGTCAGGTACTCGAGTGGATATAGCCAACTAACTGAGCGCCGGCGGCCCTCCCTTCTGCTTGGACAAGTGAGGTAAGCTGCATTTATGAGGGTGCAGGCTGTTCGGGGCCTTGTCCGCTCATTCGTACTGTGGACGGCCATCTGACGGGCCTGGAGTATTGTGCCCTCTCCCTTGATTTGTGGGATTTGACCACTGATGTAACTGTTCCCATACTCCAAGTGGGCAGTTGACAGTGAGCTGGCGAGTCTGCAGCTTGGGTCTGCAGGCGAGCTTGCAGGCGAACTGGGTCTGCAGGTGAGTTTGGGACTGCAGGCGGACTTGGGTCTGCAGGCGAGCTAGCAGGCGAACTGGGTTTGCAGGCGGATTTGGGACTGCAGGCAGACTTGGGTCTGCAGGCGGATTTGCGACTGCAGGCAGACTTGGGTCTGTAGGCGGATTTGCAACTGCAGGCTAAGCTGGGGACTGCAAACGAACCTGGGTCTGCAGGCGATCTTCAAGCCGTTAGGCGAGCTCTATAGCATAGCTCCTGAGCATGGATTGAAGAATAGGCCGTAACTTTCAAACCGTAAGTCGGAATTGGACGAATTATATATGAAAATCGCCTATCTCGACGAGATGGAGCCATCCGAACCGAGCCGAAGGCTTCGGTTCGCTTCCTCCGTTTCGCCAAATTCCTTACGGTTTGGGAGATATCTGCGTTTTCCCCTTTTTTGCTATTTCGGGTGAGGTTTTAGCAGTTTTGTTCTGAACTTCTCTGATAAGGATTTAAAGGCAATTTTTATTGCCTACAAAACCTCCTCCAATGTTTTCAGACCTGAATCAGGCCGCATGGGGTCTGGAACACTTTGGATATGAAGTCCCGTAAAGTGATCCCTGCCCTTCACTCGCAGCTGATGATCGCCTTCTAGGATTTTGAGCAAACCCTCAGCTATCAACGGACTTGATTTGTCTTTACCAACTGCCGTTTGAGTTGGACTAGCCATGCTCTTGCCCTTAGCATGGTAAGTTGTCGAGGAGTCTCTCTTAGGCTCAATGCTGGAACCTGGCTCAAGAAGTGGAAGTATAGGGAATAGTTTAACCTCTTATACCAGTTGGAGGATCAGAAGAAGCAGTTTAGACTCATGCACCAGTCGGAGTATAAGGGAACAGTTTAGCCTCATGCACCGGTTGGAGGATAAGGGGGAAACTTGTCTTCTCTTAGGGCAAAGATGAAGACGAACCCTGATTTGTCTTCTCATGGGGCAAAGACGAACCCTGAAATAGCAGCACATCACCTAGTAGGCTACTATCAAACAACAACGCCTTTCATGGGAAAGACGGTGCAGGGAGAATCAAATCGTTCAGGGACGTATGAGTATGACGACTGATCGGACAACGTCATTTGCGGGAATGACGGTGTCGGCTATCAGAGGTAATCGTTAACGTGATAGGAATTGCCGCGATCGGAGCGACTTTGAGGACCTACCATCCTTTTGAAGAGGATTGGTAAGTTGATTTTGTCAGAGGTGACCGTTAACATGACAGTGGGAGTTTATTGCGATTTGAGCAACTCTATGGACCTACCATCCTATTGAAGAAGACTGGTAAGTTGATTTGTCAGAGGTAACTGTTAACGTGACAGATTTGGGGGTCCCGCCATCCTATTGAAGAGGATTGGCGGGGGATTGTGGCTTTGGTCCTAACTATCTGAAGGTTTGACCAAGTGGGAGTTTGATGCAGCCCATCTGAACTGCTGGTCTCGCCTGTTTTGAGCGGTTCGCCATAACCGGGAACCTGGCTCAAGAAGTGGGGCTCGCCTAAACTGTTAGGCTCGCCTGATTTGAGCGGTTCGCCCGTACTGGGAACCTGGCTCAAGAAGTGAAAGCGTAGGAAATAATTTAACCTCTTATACCAGTTGGAGGATCAGAAGAAGTAGTTTATACTCGTGTACTTGTCGGAGTGTTAAGGGAGCTATCAGAGGTGATTGTTAATGTGATAGCTTCGTGGCCCGCCGTCCTATTGAGGAGGACTAACGGGGGAATTTTGGAGGAGACTATCAGAGGTAATAGTTAACTTGATAGTTTTGTGGGCCCACCGTCCTATTGAAGAGGATCAACGGGGGAATGTCAGAGGTGTAGTGTTAACATGACAGGGATTGTCGCGATTGGAGCGACTCTGCGGGCCCGCCGTCCTATTGAAGAGGATCGACGGGGGATATCGCAGGATATGAGGAAATGGTCTCTACTACCAAGGCATCTTGGTCATCATCGCCTCGAAATTCATGCGGGTCTTCGTCACCCATATGCTTGAGCATGCTCTCGACTTGTTCTCCTTGGCGGAGTAAGTCTTTCCATGAGCGAGCTTCAACAGCGCCCATATTGGACAGAACGCTGATGGAGAGATTGTTCCGGCACATCTCGATGAGCGTGGCCTCAGAAACTCGATCGCGGGAATGCAGCGACCGGTTTCTGAATCTCTTGACAAAGTTGCTTACAGACTCTGTCTTCCTCTGCTTCACAGTTAGCAGGGTGGCCATAGATACTTCTGTGTCATCGTCAAAGAATCTGGCCATGAAGAGCCTTTCCATGTCCTTCCAGCAGGTGATGGACCCAGGCTCTAATCTGCGGAACCATTCAAAAGCGACCCCCTTGAGGGTACCAATGAACAGTCGAGTCATAATGGGATCGTTTCCCACTATGTGTCCAGTTTGCGCCTGGAAGTAGTAGATGTGCTGGGTAGGAGAACCCTTGCCATTGAACTGTAGGAGGTCTAGCGGCTCGAACTTTGCCGGGTAGGAGACCGCATCCCATTCAATTGGATACGGTCTGACAACCGCCAGCTTGCTCACACGCTTCTGGAGCTTCAAGGCGTCGAGTTGACTCTGGAGATCGTCGAACCTCTTGTCTCTTGGGTTATGGCCCGAAGATGACGCTCCTCTAGATGACTC